TAAATGCAATCCAAATAACCCTTACTAATATGCCATAAAATTTAGGCCTCTGGTTTTTGTATACCAGCTATGTTCCCTCAATTTTCAATACCTGAGTTTCTCCCAATTTTGTAACTTTGTCTCACTCTTCTTGAATATAAGCTGTGAAAAACCCATATTGTTAAAGAACTAATTATAAGAAGAAGCTAAACTTTCAGTTTGTTAACAAGCATGGATTAAGTTGTTGCTGGGGAATGTTAAACTTCTTTTGTTTGAAATAATAGAATGTTACTTGAAAATATACACACATGGGTGAACAGCAACCAGTAACTTTTAAGAGATTCAGATAATAGAATTCTAATGGCTAAAATCAATTTTGGGAAAAGCAGAAAGTTTTTAAAAAATAGTGACTCTGATGAATTTTAGAACTTTGGACTACTTTAGATATTTGAGGAAAGCTTTAGATGATATACCCAGGCAAATGAATTTTTGCATGTATTTTGATTTTAAAGAGTTCCAAGACTTCTTGGATTTAAGAAGCCAACACTAAGTTAATGCACATTTCTTTATATAGTTTTAATACTCTTTGACCATGAAAGGTAAGGAAAGGGATCATTTATATCAGTTGGAATTAGGCTCAATTAAACAGATAACTGACTAGCCAACTCACTGACTGACTGACTGACTAGCAAATATTCTCTATGTTGTTTTTATACCATCTAATTAATATGAAATCAAAATACCTTGCTTGGCACATAAGACTTAATTAAGTTCCTGTACTTAGTTACTTTCTTTCAGTCCTATCTACAGTTTTTTTCCCCTCTGCATAAATCAGAGAAATGGAGGTGTTTTATGTCTCGGGGAAATTCCCTGTATTGTCAAAGTCCTTGTCACCTATGTGACAAGACTGAGTGGGCTCCCAATCATGCCTCAAGACCCAATTTTATTTCATTTCTTGGAGGAAATTTACCCCTAAACTCAAGGCTGGTTGAGGGATGATTCACCAGAGTGTCTTTATCACAGCAGTAATTACTGATACTATAACTATGTAGTAGAGTATCTTTCTCCTCAACGGAGCTCTGTGGCTGGACTTGTGAGACAGCCATTTGTCTATGTTCTAGGTTTAGTTAATGGCTGGCACATAGTAGGTTATCCGGACATGTTTACTGAATTAAAAAAAAAATGAATGGATGATTTTTGTGGGATGGTAAGAAACCTCTGCTGTAACTCTCCTTTCTAAAAAGTGGGACAATGAATGCTGATTATACAGGAATATGAGAAAAATCAATTATTGTAGGGATGGAGTAAAATCCTTAAACAGAGGCAAAATAAAAGAGCAAAGTATATTTTTTATAATCTTATTCACAACAGACTTAACACTCAAGGAGAAAAGCATTTGCTGTTGTTTCTTGCATGGCAAGAGGCTTGCCAAAATGGATACTATTTTCTAAAATATTTCAAAGTGTGAAGTGCATGAAGAAGCCTCCCATCATTTTAAGATGAATTATGCTCTAATCCGGGCATTTAAAAAACAACAACAACAGAAAAACTCAGGCTGTTTTACAATTCTGTCTGCATTTTCTCCTGGCTGAGTGCTGGGAATATTAAAACGATTTTAACTGCTTGCCAATTTTTTTTTTTTTAAACCAAGAAGCCCATTACATTTTAAAATGTGATGTCTGGGGAAAAGGTCACCCTCAGTTTCTGGAAGTTGGACTTAAAATAAGACTCATAACCAAACTTTATTTTGAAGCAGTCTGTGGGTCGGTCATAGGCTTTTGGAAGACAAATGCATTTATGCTACGAGTCAGTTTCTTGGGGCAGGTGGTCAATCCATTACCAAGAGGTTTCAGAAGGAAGGAAATGGCACTGTATGAGTTGTTCTGCTTCCCTTTTCTGTGAAAGGAGTCTCCCAGTCAAAGAAAGGCTGATGTCAAGGCAATGAGTGAAAACCAAAACCCCCCAAAGGGCGTGCTCCCCCATCCTAGTCTGTCCCCAAGCTCCACAGGCCCAGTGCCTACCGTATGTCCAGTTCTGCTCTGAGACATCTCAGGAACTCCAGATGGCACTGGAGTAGCAGAGATTTCCTTTGCTTTCTTTCCTGGCAAGAAAGAAAACCATTTTCTCTTCCATTGAATGCACACACATACACATCCAGGCAAAGAAAATGCTGAAGCTCTGTCTATGTGGTCAGCACTGTGTTAGGTGATGGGGACATATTGGTGGGCAAAAAAGATCTGGCTCCTGCCCTGATGGAGCTTACAAAGGGCAGGTAGGTGTTAAATAACTACTCCAAAGTATTATTTAATTACAGACTACCACAATTACAACACAAGAAAACTATGAAAATATTTTAAGCTATTTTTGGGTAGTGGTAGGATGTCAAGGGATCAGGGAAGGTATCTCTGAGGAAGTGGCACATACATGACAACCTGGTTCGGCAATTCCAGGCAAAGGTGATGACGGAGTGTGCAAAGCTCAGAGTTCCAGGTACACAGAGGTGACCCTGGGGCTGGCCTGGAACTGCCCCTGCGATTCGAGGAGGGGAAGCAGGCATTGCTATCCCTTTTGCCACCCAAGTGTGCACTTGAAGGAAAAGGCAACACCTTTATCTTTTCCTTTCTCCTTTCAGTGGGGAGAGGTCTTGTCTGGAAAGAGGTCTGAACAGAATTTCTAACCAAGGATTCTACTGCCTATGTTGCTACCCTCATGAATAGAAGATCTTTTTTCTCATATACAAGAGAATGATGTGAAGGCCTGCTGAAATCATCTAGGGCTTATTGTGCGTGCCATTCACTCACCAGTCAGTACCTCCCAAAGGATGTGGCACAGTATTCTGGTAGTTTCTCAAATATGCCACTAGTAAATACTTATTGGATCTCATTACTCTTAATAAGTATGGCTCAATAGCTAAGTTTTAAACAGAGGTGGAAGGTGGAGTGTAACACAGTGGTAGAGAGTAGAGACTGAAATCAGATGTCTTGGGGTTTTAGTATTGACTCCTTGGCTGCAGGACCTGGGGCAAGAGACTTGTTCTTGTGTGTGCATTTCTGTGAAACAGGGATAATGCCCCCTAGATGTTACTGTGAGGATTAAGTGGAGTGGAAAATATAAAGCAAATACATGGAACACAGCAACTGCTCAATTGTTAGTGCCTAACACTACTGCTGTCTTAAGAATGTTTATGTAATCCACCAGGTAAAAAACCTGTTACAAACTTTAAACACTGCATCTATGAATCATTATGAAATATTATTTTTTCTATTTTTTGATGGAGAAGACAATGTGATTTTATATTCTCCTCTGTATATTTCTTGAGTAAATGAATGACTATGTGCTCCAACTTGGAGTTTAGAAAACAGAGTCACTGAATATATAATTGTGTGTCTCCAGTTCCTTTTCAGGTCCTTGGAGAGGAGGGATTTTTCTCGGTACTTTTTGATCTTCCTGTACCTACCCCAGATGCTACTTAGAGTAAAATGTAATAGACATTTAATGAGGACCATGATGGCAGTAAGTTAGGACAGTCCCTTCCAGGCAGAACCAAATTAATCTGCTGAAAATGAGTTGTCATGGGAGCCTACTATTACCCTGTAGCACTGGCCCTGGGTGTGAAAGAAAAGTTCTTCACTACATGTGACAAAAAAAAAAAAAAAAGGTTGAAATTACTCTGTTTGAGCAGGAATTCCAGAGGCAGTGTGTAGCACAGCGACAGGAGGCCCTGAGTTTTTCCTTTACTAGTTTATAAATTTTTGGTTCATGATTTTGTCAACTGTGAGAAGCGAATGATACCAGCAACTTGCAGTTATATTGTGGAGATTTACCACCACCAACAAAAATACCTACATAAAATACACTGTGCAAGGAAGATGTTTAATAAAATACAATGTACAATGATCTATTATTGTGTTATTATTATTATGACTACTATTATTGCATGACCCACAGCAAGTCTAGTTTTTCCAGAGAAGCAAAGTTAACATTAATTACATGAGAGGAATTTTCAAGACTCTTGTAAATAAGATATAAAATTTAGACTTTCCTAGTCTACGTTTCTTTACTGTGTCCACTTCTAAAGTTTCATTAAGGGAAAATCTATGCTAGTTTCCTGGTCTCTTTTAAGCTTCCCTTTCTCCTTCCTAATACCTATAAGCATAGAAAAAGATAATGGTTTGCACATGTAAAAATTGTTTGAGAAATCTGAAGCAGATCTAATTTCTTCCTAACTTAGCAGAAAGAATAAATAATAACCATCTGTCTAGTCTGTCAGTTGAAGATTTCTACTGGAGGGAAAAAAAAAAAACAAAAAACAAAAAACAAAAACTGAGCTGGCTTCTAGATATTTCCAGGTATCGGAAGGACCAGGTTATAGGATTTCCAGTGGATTTTGACAGGTAGGTGGCATTCTCTCTCCCTACCTCCTTAACAATGACTTAAAATCAGAGCTGGCTGCATGGCCTAGGCAACTTTAAAAGTGGCAACGTTTAGGCACCAGATCAGACCAATTAACTCAGACTCTTATGAGTGAGATCACAACTTAGCACTTATAAAGAATTTCCTAGGTAATTCTCAAGTGAAGCCAGGGTAGAGAGAACAACTGATTTAAGTAAACAACTGATCTCATTGGAATTAATGAATGAAACAGTTGTGAGAAAGAAACTAATGTGAGAAGGTAACAAGTATTTGTATATGCCAGGCATTTCCATGTTTTCTTACTGAATCTAAAGAATACGTCCATGAGGGAGAAATTACCTCCACTTGGCTATGAGGAAACAGAGGTAATGAAAGTATCAGTCACCTGCTAAGAAAAGAAAGGGAGGATTTGGTCTGGAATGCAAACTCATTCATTCATTCAATAAACATTTGTATGTTTGTTCTAGACATTATGATCTAACAATGAATATGGCCTACTGTTCTCACATAGTATGCATTCAGTGTTGAGGTCAAACAGACAGATCGCTAAAATAATGTCAAATAATGTAAAGTGATATAAACATAACTAAAGACAATTATAGGGCAGAAAGCAATGGCAGGTTACTATTTTAGCTATAGAATTCACCAAAGGACTCTCTGAAATGACATATAAAGAGCTCTGAGTGAAGAAATAAAGGGGACAGTCTGAGGAAAGAGCATTTCAGGAAAATGAACCAGGACAAAGGCCTTGAAGAGGAATGTTTGGCACATTCAAACAACCCACTTTCCCCCCCTTTTTTATCCTGGATCAGCTAAACTCTTAAAGGACAGCTTCCCCCCCCACCCAAAAAAAAAAACAAAACAAAACACTGTTAAACCCTTTACATTTTGAGATGAAACCCAAGAAGCAAACCATTCAATTTAGGAAGGAGAGTCAACAGCAGATCTATCTGGGCGATGAACCTTCTCTTGATTAACAATGTATCGGAACTAACCTGTTGGCATATCAGATGACAAGTCAGAGGAAGCTCTGTTTAGCAACTCAATAAATTTCTTCCATCTGTGCAAGAGAAGGAAATACATTGATGGTCATTCTTATTGTTCTGAAAGTGTGTGAGGTGAAGTTCAAAGTTTATATTGCTAGTGATAGCAAGGTAGCCTTCTGATACCTGTCTCATTTAGGGGTGCTATGCAGGAAACAGAAACCACTGAAGAATCACTACTAGAAAGAGATTTAATATAGGGGATTATGGGCCCACCAGAAGCAGTACAAAGTATATTGTGGTGACTAGGAAAATTGGTGCTTGCTAGGGTCTGGTGTTGTTACTACAGCATCTCACTGATGGACCTTAAATCAATCCCAGAAGCATGGTGTTAAGAGAGTTTTGGGAAGTCTTCTACTCTACTTTCTCAACTGTAAGAAATATTACAACACAAGAAAGAACACAGAGGGGCATAGAAATGGGTGCTTACTGCAAACAGACCATATTTGGTGAAATCTCTACATAGAGATTACGTGGAGTCAGTGCATGGGAACATCATGGAGTCACTTAAAAGCTTACAAGTACTTTAAGAAGCATTTGTAGTGAAAATAGCATGTTTATACTCATCTTCTCTATGAAACTATGTTCTTATCTAGGATAATGAACTCTAATTTCCTATACCCTTCCCTAGTCTATGTTGTAACACATCTCATCTAATTAATCTCAGGCTATCACTTTCTTCATTAATCTCTTCTTTCCTTTTCCCTCTTCTATCCTCTGTCTTTATCTCTATCTCCATGTCTCTTACTCAAGTTTGATGCTGGTAGTTCTGGCAGTTTTGTTGTGCCCTATATTCTTTCAAAATATTTAGTTTTGCTTATGGTGATTAAAGAAAACAAAACAAAACAAAACAAAAAACAAAAACAAAAACAAAAAACAAAACAAAAAACAGGGCTCTATCTTGTGGTGCAGTAGGTTAAAGCACAGCACTGAGAAGCTAAAGCCACGTCAGCATAAGTTCGATCCCCACCCCGGATCGAACTTATCGATCAGAAGTCAAGTAAATATAAGGAGCAAGTTGTGAGAAATACATCCTTGGTTTTTTTGACAATTTCTAATGTCATGTATTTTTTATTTTATTTAAATAAAAAAAGATTCATTAGCAATATAAGATATTTAACTAGTTTGTTTTAACTATGCCTCATAAAATTTTCCTTCTTCATATTACAAATCAGAAAATACAGAAATAGATCAAGATGGAAGGTATGAAAATGAGGACAGAAGCCACATCCCTTTTGGAAGAGTAGGTTAGGTACAGGTGTGCAGAACCACAGAGCAGATAATCTGATGACTAGTAGCCGATGAAGACCTAGGTATGGGTGAGAAAGCTGAACAAGTAGCTCTCTCAAGAAATGTTAATAATCACTTAAAGATCTGCTGTTAGACCTGGAAATTAACTGCAGTAAAAGTATTTACTATTTTCTATGCTTCCTGTAGATACTTCCCAGAACACCTTAGGAGGGTCAGGCTTCTGTGTAGAGCAGCTCTGACCCCTTGAAAGCAACAACAAATAAACCAGATTCACTAATATTTACACAGTGTATATTTTCTCAGAACAGTAAGGCATTACCAAACAGGAGAAGGACTTGGAAAAAACAACACTAGAAACTCTTACCCCTGGTGCTGATAGCTGGGGAAGGAGGTTGCGGGACAACTTCCTAAGTGTTACTCTTGGACAGTGCCTGATTTAAATGCTTATATATAGGACAGAGGTGACCAATACAATCCTTAAGGTCTTTCTAATAAAATATTTCCTTTCTTCCTATTCTTCATATTATCCTGGGACCTTCAGAAAACCACTGACATCTGAAAGGGTTTCCGGTTGTGATAAACAGCACTGTGATCGTAATTATAGAAACTGGTGTCAAACTCCCCACAAATCAGCAAGTTTAGGACCTGAAGCAATGTGCCTCACTGTCACATTGAGCTGAGTTTAAATTCCAACTTCAGCTGTATTGAAAAGTTGATCTCCCTTAGCTCTGAATTTCTTTGTATCTACCTTCTTATGGGGCATGTAAAAAGCATCCCCAAGGAATATCCATCAGTGGGGGGGCTGGATGGAGACCCTGTCAGGCTCCCAATCCCAACCCTGCATGTTGTGCTTTACGACCTTACATCTAACTCAGCTCCAGCTATATCTTACCCCTGTGGAATTTCATGAACACAACTCCAGGTCTTCTCTCATTTATTATTTCAGAAGTTTGAGGACAGTGTGATTGTTTATTTTGTAGTTATTTATTTTTCTCCTTCCTGTACTTTCAGTTTGTATCTACCTGGATCCTTAAGCAATTTTCTTTACAAATGTTTTATCATGTAGACATGGACAGATACGTATTTTCTCAATTTAGCTTCGATCATAGCAAAGACTTCCAGTCTTTACAGAGTGTCTTTTTTTCCGTCTGAGTTGTAGTTTTTGTTTTAGCTTCTTGTCTATTTTTTCTGGGGTTGTATTCCACAGTGCCAAGTCTCTTAGGTGCAGTCTCTATTACTCTCCTCTGTCTACTGTTCTTTCTCATTTCCTTTGTTTTTTTTTTTCCCCCTCTAGATTTTGTGGAAGCCTCTCAGGTTTAGATTTTATCTGATTTTGAGTTTTAAGGATTCCTGGTTACTTTTTATTACAAATGATGTTTTATTGGAATATAGCTGTGTGTTATGTGTGTGTGTGTGTGTGTTTAATATCAATTTTCAAGCTAAAACAATATGGCGGGGTAATTCTACAGTGTAGAACCACAAAGTCTAAAACACTATTCTCTGGTCCATTATAGAAAAGGTGATAACTCGTGGCACAGCGAGTTAAAGCACAGCACTACAAGCCAGTGAGAGCTGCTTCAGGGTGAGTTTGATCCTCAGGCCAGGAGTTGACCCACATGGTGCAGCAGACTTCTCCTGTCTCTTGTGTTGCCTGCTGTTCCCCTCAGCAGTGTATTTCAGTATCTCTGCCTGTTCTGCTCCCCACTCTGTCTCTGGTGAAGTCTTTCGCCACCCCTGAGTCTGTGGCCTATACCTCAGTTCTGTATGCACGAATAAATAAATCTTAAAAAAAAAAAAAAAGAAAAAGATTTGGGATCTACAAATAAGGGAAAGACTGAGGTGTGGGGGAAAAATATCTTACATTTTCTGCATGTCTTATGGATAGGCAGGGCAAAGCTTAGGGCAGACAACATATCTATTTTCCCAAATTCCATTTACTTATCATTAGTGTAAAGCCCTGCTAGATTCTGATACAAGAGTGCCTATTAATCACATTTTGGTATTTTTGTTTTTCTGTTTGCTCAGAAACGTTTTAGTTATGTGTTCTTAAACAGGTGTCATTTTTTTCCCCTTTAATAACAGACCAAACCAATCCAAACCTAAACATTAAACACACCAAAAATGTGGTATCATTCTAGAAACATTCTTGTCACCATGATGAAGTCAGTTATTGATGCCATGTGTCTCTGAGAACTTCAAAAGGCAGAAAGCAGAGGTACCCTGGTCCTTACCTTTCTAAACCATGGGAAATGTATGCTATGCCACAGAAATGGTTTGCGCTCTTGCTTGTGTTTTTGTCTTGGCACATTCTGCTCTTCTCTGGCTGAAGTGCTCTTCCCCTATCTTCCCCTCTTGGCTGGTTAGTTGTTTTAGGTCCCACCAGGTTTAGCTGAGATGTAGCACAGAATCGGCTGAAGAGCCAGCTCTGTGCAGACTGCCAGAATCATAGGTTAAGTTCTATGATTTGAAGAATTCACTCTATCTATTCCCTTTAGAGTCCTATATATA